CAAAATCTCATCAAAGCATTGATCTACCTTGCAGAGGTTCTTATTTTCCTTGAAAGCAAGGTCAGGGTATTTTATCACAAGTGAAATATCACCTGTGGAAAAAGAAATTAATGAGCCATTAAGACCTACTTTTCTGTGGACAAATGGGAATGTATCTTGTCAGAAACAGAACAGTTGGAGGTTTCCTGGCTGAGCTGATCCTCTTTCTCATGGTATCAGAGTAATGTGACCTAACATTAATGAATTCCTTGCCAAGCAGTTTTCATGACCTAAATTTTTGAGTGCCTTCTAGCAAGGCACACAGGGGGCTCCAGACTTGTGATGTGACCTTCAGTTTATTTCCAGTGGTGTCTCATTTTTATTGTTATTAGTACTGGAGCAGTGGAAGTAGCGTGGGGGAAAATGGGGATGTAGCTTTGGCTACATCCCCATTATCAGTACTTGAAGAGTACTGATAAGAAACTGATTCATCTTGGTCACCTTTCAACATACCAAGCTGAAAATAAAAATTTCTTGCACATACCTCTGTCCTAGAGGTGGAACTTCACAAATAGTCTGAAAAGTGTGTGTGTTCTCTCTTTCTTATCCCTTAGAACACAAGGAAGGACACCAAACCGAAAAGTGACAGATTATTACCCAGTTAGGAGAAGTTCCAGGAAGAGCAAATCTGAATTGGAGGTAGTGCATCTTGTTTAAATGACATTACTTCTAACGTGGCTGGTTAGTTGAAGATTTGAGGAAGTGTGTAAATGGTTTCCATTCCAAGTACAAATAACACTGTGCACTGGAAGTACTGTTAAGAACATGCTTAAAATTTGGAAATGCTGGTCCAGTTCTAGGACAGAATGCAGCTGCTTATGTAGAAATCTGTCTCTCTGCCGTTCAGTTTTGCTGGAAATATGGGATGGTCTGGAACAATGATTGTCACTGGCTAGTAATGCCTTTCAGCTCTAGGACACACTACAAAAGTTGTGGTTTTGTTTGTTCTCGTTTCTTCTGCAGACTGAGGAGAGGAGGAAAATAGATGAGCTGATTACAAGTGGGAAAGAAGAAGGAATGAAGGTAACTGCAGTGTCAGCCAACAAATACTCTTAGTCTGTGTACAGCCCATTGCTGTGGGTTTGCAATCTGGCTCTTGGGATAATGGGTTGTTCTGGTTTTCCTCCCACTGCTGTCAAATGCAGTTATTGAGACCAAGAGCTTACATTTGGGTTGTTCTGATCACCCCTTTTAGAATTTAAAGCAGAAATGGCCCCTGGAAGTGCAGAAGAACTGTGATTCTTGAAAAGCAGCAGCCTGTAGATCAATATTGTCACATCTGTGACAGTGATAGGACTTCCTTGGAGTTGTCCAATTTACAGGGGGAGACAGGAATACTAAAGTGTACTGGTGGCTGATAAATGTAATTTTTGTAATCAATCTTATTGTTCCTTTAACTTTCTAACCTGTGTATGCTAACGTGCACATGAAATGGAAAAGCTCACTGCCCCAGCTCATAGGGAGTTTAAAAGAAAAAACAGACACAAAGAGAAGAGTTAGGGTTTATTTAAAGTAATTCTTATTTCTCTAATTAGAAGCCTTTGTGTCAAACTACCTGGTAACCTGGATGAATCCCAAACTCATCCTGTGTTTATTCCACAATGCCAGGCAGCTTCTACAGCTTTGTCTGCTGTAGACAGAATTTGTTTGAATTCCCTTTGACAGCATTTTGTAATGACAAATCACTCATTTCCTCGTAATCAGCATATTTGCAATCATGTAAATACTTTCCAATTTCCCAGCTGATTTTCTTTTCAACTCTCCAGATTGATTACATCGATGGCAAGGGGAGAGGAGTCATTGCTACTAAACATTTTAATCGAGGAGAGTTTGTGGTGGAGTATCACGGGGATCTCATAGAGATCACTGATGCCAAGAAACGGGAGGCTGTGTATGCTCAGGATCCATCCACGGGCTGCTACATGTACTATTTCCAGTACCTCAGCAAAACCTACTGGTAAGCTCCTCTTCCCTCAAGTGTTGGCTCACAGAGGCTTTGGATGTCACTAAACCCTTTCTTGTTTTCATGCAAGTTTTGTGTTTTTAATGAGAACCGTGAATTATGAAAATCTTGGGGAGCACTGATCCCCCTCCAAGTCTGGGCTGGTGGGTGACTCAGAGCAGTTTTCTCTGAAGTGCAGCACAAGCTGTATGGAGAGTTGCATCTACTTGGATGAGATTTCTAGCCCTGCTTATTCTCTTCTAAAACTAACTCCCTTTTCTGAGTTGCAAGGATTTGGTTGAAAAGCAGGACGGACAAACTCTCTGGAAGAGAAGCATTTCCTTCAAGTGTCTTTGAGTGGGTGTCCTTGTTTTCCCAGCACCTAACACCCACCCCAGATTCATGCTTTATCTATTTGCTGTTTCATTTGCCCCAAACTCCAGGTCTCTAAAAGTAACTACTCTGACTACCTTCTTTCCTCCTTGGCTGATCCTACTGGATACTGGAGCGTAGGTCACTTAACCACGTGTGTGACCTATTAATTACCTGGAAGTGCCCTATATTCTAAGTGCCTTGATAGCTGCCATAACACTTCTTTGTGCAATGAGGGGCACTAGAGCTGGAGTATCCAGGTCTCTGGAATTTGGGCATGTAGTATTTAGGCATTCTCAGCCTTCCTTTTGCTGATTTACTTTTGCTGGTTTACTCAGTAAATATACTTAGCTTGGACACAGCTTTCTTGAGGGGAGGATATTTAAGGTATCCAGCCTTTCTGATGGTGTCTTACGTCTGGATTCAGCTATTCCTGAAAAGAGGAGCTCAAACAGTCTAGAGTTTTCAGTTTTGTGCTAAATTAAAAATCTCCCAGATTGTTTTAGTTTCCCTGCATTACCATATTTATTGCTGTCTGTTTAATCATGGCTGGTCTGTAATGTTCTGTTTCTCCTTCATTTTCCAAGCCTCATTCTTTATCCTGTTTGCACTTGGGTTTTGGTCCACAAAAACTGTTCTTGTTCTTTCAGTGTCGATGCTACAAAGGAAACAAACCGTCTGGGAAGGCTCATTAATCACAGCAAATGTGGCAACTGTCAGACTAAGCTCCATGACATTGATGGTGTTCCTCATCTCATCCTCATTGCTTCCAGGGACATTAAAGCAGGTGAAGAACTCTTGTACGACTATGGAGACAGGAGCAAAGCTTCCATTGAAGCTCATCCATGGCTGAAACACTAATTCATCTTCTTTGTTTTGGTTTTTTTTTTTTCCTGGACTGAGTGTTCTACAAGGAGTCTGGATTTACTTCTCCTGCCCTCACGTCCCTCAGCTTTCTTAGTGGACTGCTTACGGTCTTCCGAGCTCCTTACAAACTACCTTTTTGCTTTGCAGTATTTAAACACCTATTACAGTTTTCCAGGCAGGCTTCAATAATTGATCTTAGATTGCCAAACCTTTTGTATCATAAAAGGAAACCCTCCCTAAAATCTGAATGCTTCTGCACAGTGACCAGTGCCACTTGAGCAGTCAAAGACTTGCACAGAAACTTAATCACTGGGGTTGTGCTTCTGTTTTTGCAAGAAAATCTCACGCTCCGCTTTGGGGTGATGAACTCGGCGTTAACTTTGACAGCAGAAGTACTTCTGTACTCTGTTCATGCGGTGGCTTGACTGCCTGTCACACTGCTGTTCCCAGCCCAGTGCTGACAGGCTTCTCTGGCATGGATGCTACTATCATTCTCCAATAATTTGTGGTAGGAATCCAGTTTTTTCGGTGTCGTATAATCTGTTGGCAATGAACTTTAAATGCACTGGCACTGAGGAAAAAAGGACGGTCAGGTTGGCTGCTTTCTTTGGAGAAATGACTCCCAGCCAAACAAGGATGGATTTTGATAGTCTGGGTGGATACTGAGTACAAATGTGGAGATAGAACTTCACAGTGAGAATCAATGTTTGACATTACTTATTTTCTAAAATTTAAGAAGGTACCTTTTTATATTGATGGCTGATTGTTGGAGGTGTCTCCCAGAGGATTTTAAAGAAGTAAAAGCTCTCTCCAAAAATTTTTGTATTACCTTCCTATGCTAATTAGCCACATCAGAAGCTATTTATTTACTGTGAATGCTTGAAGTAGAGCATAGCGGTTCCAAAAATAGGAGTCCTCTTCATGTGCAGCTTCAAAGTGTAACAATGAAGTTCACGCAGTGAAGAAAGTAGATTCCTTATTGCCTGGTCCTGTAGGTCTGTCCAGCATGGTCTGGTCCCACTGTGTTACGTGGGAGTCAAGCGCTTGGCATCTCATGGATGTTGGAATGTTACTGTTGGAGAACCAAATCTGGGATATAGGCAGGCAATACAATGCAGGTCCTTTATGTTAAAGATGAATTCTTACCAGTTGGAATTTTTGCCAAGGCAGGCTTGGCATGTGTGTAGATGAAAATGGCTGTGAGCCATCAGCCACACTTGCTGCTGGAAGATGTCAGCAAGGAATCTGTGGCTCTGTTAATGTCTTCTATTCCTCATGTCTTGAAGGCTGCTGCTGTTCCAGCTGAATGCCCTCTAGGACAATCTTATGCTTGCCTATGTGATAGGTCAGATAGCAACAACATCCTGGTTGTGTGCTCCAGCAGCAAGAGAGGTGGCTTAGTGATGTATTTTTTAAATTAAAAACTTGAAGACAATGTCTCTGTAAAATAAAGAATATATTTATTATTGATGAAGTGGCTGCTATACTACCTGTCTCCATTGCAGTTCATGAGCATTGGAAAGAAAGCTGTGAAAATCATTAGCTATTAAATGCTTGATATTTACTGCTTAACACAAGGCAAACTCGGCAGAGCCAGCCTGGGTATGTTCACGTTTCTGAAGGAGTAACTGGAGACCTGTTACCTTCCATGTACTGAGTTTCAGGTAAGATAAGGCCAACTTAGCTGAGTTGGCACTGATTTTTCTCTGGTCTCAGTAGCAGAGACCTCAGCAGTGTGTACAGTATCCCCTTAAACTAGAGCACTTCCCTTAAGTCAAGATTAGAGTAAAATGATTCTTTTTATTTTATTTAAACGTTTACTTGTCCTTTATCAGGTTGAATAGCTTAAAACCTCTGTTCTTCAGCATCACTTCTGTAAACAAAAAAGGGAATGATCTCCCTGTTTTACATAAAAACAAAGTTGTCTTCTCTGAAAGGCTTAACTGATAATGGAGTAGCACTGGGTCAGATGGAAATAAAGCTGATGTTGCACTGCATATGTATCCTTGACTTTCCTAGGAACTGAGGTATCAATATATTTCTCACAGAAACTGCCATTTGGATGTTTATCTCTGTCCCTGTTAGGAAGATTTCATCTTCTAATATGGTGGAAAGCACTTCTCGGTGCTTACAAGATGTCCTTGGGTTGGGAGCTAAACTGCCCTTTTTGAAGGAGATTGGAAAATACATTCCTGGATAAACCACAGGAGGATGAAGTTCAGAGCACATCTCTTCAGCTCAGAGGTGTATCCTGGCTGTTGTTAATTCGTGATTATTTATTTATTTTCGAGCACAAAGCCTCTGCTCAGGCAGTGCAGTAACTTCCTTCCCTGCTGCCTTGCTTTACAAAATACATCATGAGGGCATGGCTAAGATTGATATTTTGAAGATGGCAAAATGACTTCAGCAGTTCATACCCTGCCTATACCAGGTGGCTGAGGTCAGACCTCTGTGGTGGTGCCTTCTCATGCACAGTTGCCAAGGAACTCTGAAGGGAGGCTGCAGCTCTGCCTTCTGCTGAGCCACACTCACACTGTGCATCCCAGCACTTGTGTGAAGTGTCCTATATTTCTCATGCTGCCAGTGTGTGAGAGGGAATCAAAAGACTTCGGAGCCTGCTTTCACTTCTGAAGAGAGTAAGATCAGAGTTTGATACCTGTCACTGCTCCTTTTATGTCTATTCAGGCTTTTGTGCTCTGGATATTCTACCTTTCTAAATGGGGAACCTAACTGGTGTCTTTCAGGCTTCTTTTCCCACTCCTCTGTTTGCCCTATATCCTTCCACTGGTGATAAATCTCATTACTGGGGCCAACACACAGCTTGTGGCAGTTGATGGGAAGAAGAGAGCTTATGCAAAACACAGCTGCCTTCCCCAGGAGCCCTTCAGCTGTCAGAAATGAGGTGTTTGGTGCATCTGTTCCAGTCTGAGCATTTCTGCACCTCAGTCCTTCATGTGGGCAGAGCACGAGGCAGCAGCTTTCCTTCCCTTGCTGTGCTCTTCTCCACTATCATTCATCTCAACCCCAAACAGCCACTTGGGAATGCCACGTATCTCTTAAATATCATCTCCATCTTGCAAAATCACTTGGGCTGAGTGCTCTGATAGCTGGACAGGGTAAATATGTTATACTGATCATCACAGGCTCCTTTAATAAGAATAAACCCCACCTGTGTATAAAGGTTTATTTTCTACATGTGGGTAATATCTGACAGGAATCTAAGAAATACAAAAAGTGTCTGTTTTAAGCAGTTTCTGAAAAAGCAGAGTAAAAACTATTCTGAAAGAATATTATACAACACAATTTTGATGAGGTTGCTCATTCTCTGCAGCAGGAGTGGTGCTGCTTCTCCCAGCCCTTGTCTCCTCCCTCATCAGTGCCGTGCTCAGCAGGAGTCCTTGAGGATGCTCATTTTCCATGTTTAAAAGAAAACCTAAAAAAATCAACAAGAGAAAGGAAACAATGTACAAGCAGAAAAGCAGTTGGAAATGCTGTGAGGTGGCTGTGTCAATGTGCTCTGCTATTTTTGGGAACTTTAGGGACGTGGCCTGAGCTTGTGGGTACTGTGTACAATGAAAACAAACCTCCAGGGCCAGTGTGTTCCCACAGCACAGGCCTGAGGTGCTGGCAGGGGAGGCAAATATTGCATTGTTTTGCTCTGAAATACTTGTTTTTCCTAAAAAAAAGTGACTCCCTGCTTGCCTGGGTGGAGGTTGCCTTCCTGTGGAGTGCTTTTTCCACAGGAAAAGATTTCCTTATCAGGTCTTTAACTTTACAAGGGGAGCAAGAGAAAACAATATCCAGCCAACTGGGCTGGAGTTCAGCATCCATCCCTGGATTCGCTGTGGTTGAGGGTGCCATGTTCTCCCAAATTCTGCCCAAAAAGCTGCAGACAAACTTACAGCCGTTTGATGATTGTCTTCTCACTGTCCTTGCTGGTGCCAGCGCTGCTGCCACTGCTTTCTTTTTCCAGTTCTTCAGTTTGGTCCTTTCTCTGTGAGATGATCCCACTGGGAAAAGAAAGGGGTTTGTTTATTTTTCATGGGTTTGTGCATAGTGACAGTGTGTACATGTTAAACCCTGTGAGCTGGGACAGGGATGAATGGGAGTTCATGGGACAGGGAGGGCAGCCCGGACTCTTCCTTGTAGTGAATGGAAAATAATGAATTGTTACCCCTAAGTATTGCAATGGGGCTATGCTTTTGTGGGAACACTAAAGTAACAAGCTGACTTTTCCACAGAAGAAAAATGGCAAATCATAATGGGAGTGAAAGGGATGTGGAATTACACATTGGATATGTAGAGAGGTCCAAGGATAACAGGATGGTGCAGACACAAAAAGTGAATTCCTGCATGGGTGGATCTGTGGTACCTTCAGCGCAGCCACCAAGACTGGGAACACATGGGATATTCCCAGCTCCCCTGCAAGGCAGGTGCCTGTTCCTCTTTCCACCCTACAGAGGAGAAAAGAAAGGCTTTGCCTCAGCTCTCAATTGTGTGATCCTACTTGGCTCTTCTTACACTCCACAGGTTGTAACCTCCTGCTTCAGGCACCAGCTTCAGCTTTACCAAAGGAGTTTTCCCTGCTTGGAACCAGATTGGACTTTCCCAGCCTGCACACTCTGTTTTCACAGCCTGCCAGTCACTGTCCTGAGCTGACCTCATTTGCTGGGAGAGCTGAGTGGATCAAAGCCTGTGCCTGCAGGAGCCAAAGGCTGAGAGCAGCCAAGCAACACTTGGCTGGGTTTGGAAGCACAAACACAGAGTATCTAGAAACTGGTGTGACATCAGGAATGGGGTAATTCTGGGGCAGATTCTCCTCTTGGAGAAAAAGGACTATGAGCTGTTTGGTGACACTGCAGAGCTGTAATATCTGCACAACTTCTACCTAGAAATCACCACGAAAACTGCAATCCCCAAACACCATCAGTGAGTGTGAGCCAATCCTTGGGAGGATGTTTGGTACCTTGTGCTAAACTGAGCTTATTTCCAATGTGCATAATAGAGCTTATTTCCAATATACACAAGACATTTTAGATCATATATTTATCCCCTTCCCCTGCACAGCTCCTCTTTATGGCTGTACAATTACAATTAGAATTTTATGTGACTGTTTAAAGGGAAGATGGATTTTGGCTTAAGCTATAGCAGTCTACAAGGAGATAACTTCATAAATTACTTGAACTGAAAAGCAGCCCTGACACACTCAGTGCACAGCACTGTGACTGAAATCACTCAAAACCTGAAAACATTCCCACTGTTAATTTTTAACTTGGCCTGTACTAAGCTGTGTAACAGCTGGGAAATCAAAGCAAGAAGCCATTTCACTGGCTGCACAGCAAAGCATTCAGCTGAGCTGGGGAAATGCTGTCAGGCAGTTTGTAAATTCTTGGATTTAACTTTTAACTTCTTGGCTTAACCTGCCTGTTACAGACCAGACAAAGGGCAGGCTCACTGCATCCAGGAGGCTGTTGCTGAGATACCTCAACTAAAATCTGATGTGCTTACTTTGTGTCCAGATTAAGAAGTAGTTTCTTGCTCCAAAGAGTTTATAATCTAATCTGAGGATGGGCAAGGGTTGAAGAGAGCAGCCTTGGGGGTGAATGAATTTGTAGCACCAAGAGCAAGACCCTTCCCTCATCCTACCCTCTGGCTCACACCGGTTTTCCCAGGCTGGTCCCTTTGAGAAAGACCAAACCCTCCTCTCAAAGCACTTGTTCTGCACAGTTCAAGTGCCTTACACAACCCTCTGCTGGCAGTCCTAAACCCCCACAGCTTCTCTTGAATGATGAAAGAGCTCAATATTCTGTCCCTAGAGCAGTCCATGCCCCCACGGGAGCGCAGGACCAGAGATAAGGCAGTGTCCCCACACTGCAGGAGGAAGGAAACTTTGACTCAAGCTGAGCTGGAAACCCCCGTGCTCTTCGGTGTGTGGTGTGGCTTTGGACACTGTGTGTGTGCAACTGCTGTGACTGCACAGATGGATTCCTGTGCATGGGAACCCACTGGATGGGGAGTGGGAGTAGCTGTGCGTAGGGGACAACTCTGGGAACAGGCTGAGAACTGTGCAGAGCAAAAGGGAGTTTAGTTTTAAAATTATGTTGCATAGAGACTTCATTGTTCCCCTGTTTTTCTTTGAATGCTTTCGGGAGCACAGGTGTCTCTTACACGCCTGGACAGTGCCTGGCCCGAGCCTGCCGTGCTCTCGTCTGATAAGCTCCCCAGACAAGAATTAATTAATTGTTATTAGTAGTTATTAATTCTTTGGTGCCTTCATGCTGTACCTCTTATAGCACTGTAGCTCCTCTTGCACCACCAGAAGCTGAGCTTTCAGCTGGTTTCTCTCTTGCAACACATCTTTGAGTTCCTGCAACGTGAATCGTGGCCGGTTGGGATCTGTGAGGTCGATCACCATTTTATCTGGTCCAAGGCTGATCTGGAAAAGAAACAGTGCTGGTCATGATCTTGTAACCTCTCAAAACCATGGAGTAATTTGTAGGACTAGTACAAGTTGATCACAATCCTGACTTTTTTTCTAAGCACTTAATTATAGTTCTTCATATTACTTTTGTATTCCCTTTTGTCACTGCATTTCCAGCCCCAACTGTGACAGGCTCTGACCACAGCTAAAAGCAACGTCTCTGTCCCAAAGTGTTTGCAATTTAGTTTGCCAAGAAGCTGCTTTTATCAGCTTTTCTGATGGTGGGAGAAACCAAGCAATCTAACATCACATCTGTGGCAGAGATAGGTGAGAACTGAATTCTCCTTTCCTAATTTAAGACCTTTGTGGTAATGGCTTTTTTGGGTCACAGTTTCTCTTGCACAGAGTAACAAAGCTCTAGCGTTTGCTTAAATGGCAAGTTGTCTCATGTGGGGCCGGTGCTGTGTGAGAACTGAACACGGTGGGTTTGTACTCGGTGAACTCTGTGAGCGCCTGAACAACTCTGCTGGCACCGCACGTTGCTGAGATAAAGCGGTGAAACGGGAGCGGGGGATCCACAGCACTGTGACCTGTAACACCCCACGGGAAGAGCTCCAAGGCTTCATGGCCAAAGACGGGAATTGACATTGTGAGACTCGTTCTGCTGCGACAAAAGAGACCACGAGTATCCTCCGGCCCCTCTGGTGTTGCTCGGGGTGGGCTCCACGACCCGCACGCGTCCGGCCCGTGTCCCTGTGCCCCGGCCTGTCCCGCACCCACCTGCGGGGCGCTGCCTGGGGCCGCCGCCGCCCGGAGCTGCTCCAGCTCCCGCCGCAGACTGTCCCGCTCCCGCCGCAGCTGCTCCTCGGCCACGCTGCTCTCGCTCACCAGCGCCTCCAGCATCTCCAGCACCCGCACGATCCTGAACTGCAGCCGCGCGCGGGCGGCGGGGAGCTCGGGCCCGGCGCGGAGCTGCAGCAGGTCCCGGCCCACCACGGCCGAGATGTCGTACACATCGGCGGCCGTCAGCTGGAACGGGCTCTTCTCCAGGGCGCTCTCCGGGCCGCCATCCCCATCCTCCTCCTCCTCGTCGTCCAGCTCCTCCTCCTCCTCCTCCTGCCGGCCCCGCTGCATTCCCGCCGCTCCCTCCCTCCCGCCGGCCCGGGCGGCGCTGGCGCGGGCGGAGCGACCCCTCCTGCCCCCGGCGGGCCCGTGGCCGCGGCCCGGCCGCGCTTCCCGCCCTGCCCCTTCCCCTGAGGAGGCACCGCCCGCCCGCCGCTGCCGGTAAGAGACTGGGGGCCCTCGGTCAGCCCCGGGAACCGGCACCGAGCCGGTTCCGCAGCGCCCTCCGGGAGCGGGGCTGGGCCGGGGGACGGGAGGGCCCCGGCCGGGCGGGAGCGGGAAAGGGGCTGAAATGGAGCCCGGCGGGAGCGGCCGCGGCTGCCCCGGCCCGAAGGACCGGGACGGGAGGGGAGGGGAGAGGCGGCGGCGGGGACGGGGCTGAGGGGCCTCCTCGGGCGGGGAACGGGCCGGGCCAGGCCCGCGGGCTCCCCACGGCCGGGGGCGGCTCCGGCTCCCGGCACGGCCCTGCCCCGCGAGGGGAACTCAGACAACAGCCACGCGGCCGCTTTATGTACGTTTATCTCACTTTGGGGGATTTTTGAATGAAGGCACAGTACATCGGGGCTGGGAGCGCTCCTTGCACAGCCCGTGCCTGCTCCTGTGAGCCTGTGCGACGTGTGTTTCCCCCAGCAGGCCATGGCTGACTGGGCCCCCATAGCGAAGGAGTACGACCCGCTCAAGGCCGGCAGCATCGACGGCACGGATGAGGAGCCCCACGACCGGGCCATCTGGCGGGCGATGCTGGCGCGGTACGTGCCCAACAAGGGAGTGACGGGAGATCCTCACCTCACCCTCTTCGTGGCGAGGCTCAACCTTCAGACCACAGAGGAGAAGTTAAAGGAGGTCTTTTCCCGGTATGGAGACATCAGGAAGATCCGTCTGGTTCGGGACCTGGTCACGGGATTTTCCAAGGGTTATGCCTTCATTGAGTACAAGGAGGAGCGTGCGCTCCTGAAGGCCCACAGAGACGCCAACAGGCTGGTCATCGACCAGCACGAGATCTTTGTAGACTTTGAGCTGGAAAGGACTCTCAAAGGATGGATTCCCCGGAGGCTTGGGGGTGGCTTTGGAGGCAAAAAAGAATCCGGGCAGCTGAGGTTCGGAGGACGGGACAGACCTTTCCGAAAGCCCATCAATTTGCCGAATGTGAAAAATGATTTCTATGGAGAAGGATCATCGGAGAAAAGAAACTGGTCTCGTGAGGGAACGAGGGACTGGAGAACGAGGGACCGGGACCAGGAGAGGAGCAGGGACAAGCGCTGGGGAGAAAGAGAGCGGTCGTGGGCTTGGGGCGACAGTGAGAGAGAGAGGGACTCCAGAGAGGAGCGGAGCAGAGGGAGGGACAGGAAGGACAGAGACAGGAAGGACAGGGATAGAGACCGGAGCAGGGAGAGAGAGCCCAAGAAGCAAAGAGATGATGATAAGTACAGATAGGTGACCATGAAACACTCACTTATTGGAAATACAGGAACAAAGTAAAGCTTCTGAAAAATGGGCCCCAAAACAGAAGCTGAAGGAAAGTGACTTCATTTTCTTGAAGATGCTGGGACAGGTAGGACCTTTAGTGGTGCTGTGTCCTTAATTAGTTCTGCCAGGTGACAGAGAAGCATGTGACCAATCCATTTTGTATGTCATGGGAGGATGTGACTCCTTTGTACACGAGGAATGTGCACCACAGAGCAGTAAACAGGTCAGAAAATGCCTCATGTTCCTGATGAATCCATGGATGTTCACTGAGGGATGGTGTCATGGGTAAATGTTGCAGCTGCACCCACTCTGTTCTCTCCTCTCTGCCAGTGAAGTCCTGCCTGCACAGGGTTTAAATCCATTCTGGAAAGTGGGTTTGCTGCTGATTTGGGGAAAACAGATGTCAAGCACCTTTTTCAGAGCCAGGATATGTATGTACAGACACACATCTCCTGTTGGGGAGCTTACAGTGCTTTCTAGAAAGGGCTCTGTCATGTTCTTTGTCATCATAAGCCAGATAGATAACATATTTTAAACTATATTTTGTAAGCCTTTGAATGGCCCTGTCCTAAACCTTGCCCAGTTTGACGCTGTATTTCCATGAAGAGTTGTACACAGACAGGTCCACAGGCTGCATCCCCAAGAAGGGATGGTATTAACTTTCCACAGGAAAAAAAAAAAGACACAATTGTTGCAGAAATACGTGTTTTTCAGAAATATTTATTAAACTGTTAAAATGATTTACTGTCCAACCAAAAAAAAAAATAAAATAAACCAACCCATAAAATGTCTGATCCTGCACTTGGCAGGCAGGACTGTGACACCCCTCACCTGCCACCATCCTGGCCCCTTTTCTAAAAGCAGATGTTCCTTGAATACAGAGGACCAACACATGACAGATCTAAAATCTTTACAAATGCTTCCCTCTGGGCCATCCTTCCCGATGGCACTTGTGAACTCAGCACTTCCAACATGACAACGAGTGGTTAATGGCAGCAGGTCAGGAGGAACTAATGAGGTTTTTGAGGTAATGGGCTACAGAGATGAGTGGGGGAAGCTTGTCCTGCTTAGTGCTGTGCTTTGATGTTGCTGCAGATCTGGCCTGACAGTGGTGCCCCGGGCTCTGGGCTGGGCTTTACTGCACCAGGAGCACAGGCTTAGGCTCGGTCTGTGCAGTTCCATTATCCCAGCTCATTGCTCTCAGCTCATTTCCAAAGGGATGTGCTTACTCTGGCATTGTTTCTGCTCACTGCATCCCTTCTGGATGTGCCACACGACTGGACTGCGCCCAGCAGAGACTCCACGGGGTCACTCACAATCCAACTGGACAACTTCTGGTTTTCTCATATCTGGAAGTGAATCCAGATCTTGGCAACTGAAGTCTCATTAAATTAAGACACTCCCCCCATTTAAGAATTGCTTTTCACTCAGTGGGGGAAGTGCTGCTGTTTCACGGGTGTTACCAAAACACAACCAGGCAAAAGCTCATCTGCCCAATTCCCGTGTCAGCCGCTGCCATCACTGTGTCTAATGCAGGTGTCTCATGTAAGGCCACATGTCCCCCCTGCCCCGAGCTGCAGGAGCACCAGGGGGGCACAGTAAACACTTTCCCTACCTAGAACATATGGAAGATTTGTGTTTGGAATGAAGCAGTTGCAGCCAGGAGCAGAGCAGCACAGAGGGAACAGTTCCCTGTCACGCTTTCACTACAGACAGGCTGAGAACCATTTGCTGTGCTCACACACATCAAAGAATCCAGTCTTGGATCACCCTGTAATAAAAACAACTAGCCTGCACTAAACCCATCTAGGAGTCCTTCAACAGTTCCTCCTGCACTCAGTACCTGGAGCAGTTGGAGCTTTACTCCAGCCTGAGCAGTATTTCCTATCCTTGGTGCCACTCCTGAGAGGAGGCTCTTTACAGAGCAGGTGGAGCTGCTGGGGGTGTGGTACCAAGAGCTCCAGCCCCTGGCACTGAGCTGCAGAGCAGGAGCTGCCCCTGGCCCTGCCACCACCAGATGCTCCTCAGCAGCAGTGGTGCCCCCGCACAGACCTTCCAGAACACAGAGACCCCTCAGCCCTGTCCTCGCCCTCTCCCACCTGGGGGGTGCCTGTGGAGTGTGTGGTGCAGGGGGGATGCTCTGACATGGGCTGGACACAACAGTTATGCTCTGTGGGGTTTTAGTGTTGTAGGTCTGACCTCAGTCAGACCCGGGCTCTCACAATCCGACTGCAGAGCAGATTAAATCCCAGCCCCTGGCAGTTGGGCTGGGCTGGCAAGTTAAGCCCAGTAACACAGGCTGCCCAGACATGAGCCAACACCAGGGGAGCAGCCTGCACACAGAATTCATTCCTCTGCTCCCACAGAGTTTAGTGTTTTCAGTTGGGGCCATCTCTAGGTCAGTTTAACAGCTCGTGTCAGCCAGCTGAGGACGTGTGTCCCTCTCAAGTTGGGCAGTTTTACCTAGACAGGAAAATGGAGTGTGACTTAATTAAAAACCTCTCTGTGGGAAAGCTCTAATTCCTTTCCAGCAGCTGCCTGCTACTCTGGGGGGAAGTCCCCAGTAAGAAGGAAAAAATCCAAGAGTTAGGATTTCTCCCTGTAAGCAATTTGTATTCCATTAATACTGCAGAACTCATGGCAAAACACAAGGCACGCTCACCTCATACAAGGGTTCTTCATGCTTTAGGCACTATAAGCACAAGGGAAATGTACACTCACTGTCCCTCTCAAGGCTACTCCAGTTTCTCACTGTGCCAGGTGGGTTTCCAAGGGGTTCCTCCGCAGGATGCCGATGCCAGCGGCACTGACAGGACACAGCAGAGCTCTGGGCTGCCACGGAGGGTGTCCAGCTGTCGTGTCCCTCTTGAAAAAATTCTCACAGAAATAAAAAGCAAACAACCAATAGTGTTAACAAACAGGGTGGAAGAGTCTTTGCCCTGTACTAGATACTGTACACTGCAAACAAACTTCTAATAATGGCACGGGTCCTTTTTTGGTTTAAAGAAGCTTGTGTTACTGTAGTTAATGCAAGAACAAGACCGTGGACTTGTTATTCAGCACAAAACAAGTCATCTAGAAGCTTCCACGTCCCAGGGTGGCAGCAACTGTTACTACAAAGCTTGGGCTCTGTTTGCAGCAAACAGTCCCCAAGTGAACAGCGAGGGATCCCTTTGGGAGGGTCTGGAACAACCCCGAGGTGTGCGAGGCAAAACCAGTGACGAGCTGCCGCGGTGCTTTACAGGAGCTTCTTGTCACGACTCTGTCGGATCTACTGCAGCAAACAGGACACCTCAGGGCTTCAGTCACAGGTGCTGCAGGGCTTCCTGGCCTTGTTCCATGTAGGAGTCATCCCTACTTGAATTTGACCATTCTCCAAAAGTTCCCTGGAAGTGGACATTTTTCTGCGACGCCTGCAAACGTTTCTTGTCGCGAGAGAAGAAACTAAACCTTCCAGCAGGGGAGAGGAAAGAAAAGAAAGGAGACTGGTTACCATCCTGAAAACGCTTCCAACACCCCCCCCAGATACACAACCAAACACAGAGCAAAAAAATCTGTTGCATCTGCACAAACTCAAGGCAGAGCAGCCCGCGGGAGCGCAGTCAGGATGTTGTTAGGAGTGGAGTCATTGCAATCTCAAGCAGTTTGGCTGAGGAAGCTTCAGATAAGCTCTAAATGCTGTTGACTCTACAAGGTGCAGGTACCATTCAGAGGTACATCCCCCCTCCCCAGCCCTCAGGTAACGAAGCAACACGATACAGGTTAGTTCCTTGGCATAAGTAAAGTGGTATCTTTGCATTAAATCTGTGTATTTGTGTATAGAAATTTTTTTGAAGGGTGTCAAAGGATCTTATTCATAAGAAAATAAGTCTTCACATTTTTTTTCCCAGTGCACAGATTTTGACACATAGACTTGATTCCTGCAAAAATAAAGGAATAAGGGCACCAATGTGCACAAGGGTTTGCAGGATGAAGGCTAAAGAAATGCACCTGAGTGTGCACGTCATTCCCTGTCCCACGGCCTGGTGCTCTCAGAGAATGACGTACACGAACCAACAGCCACTTCATACAACAACAAACTGCCAGCTAAAAATACAGTTGGGAAAATCCTTAGTATTGTTTTATTTGTATGGGATGAAGTTACTTGATTAGGCAAAGTCAATGTTTGCTGTGAGTTCAGCACAAGGGGTGTTAGTGCAGTGTTTGGGTCTGCTGAGAAATGCAAAAGTTGTGGTTCCAGCTCCCAAAGGACTGACTTGGCTGAGCATCTTTTGCTTTCAGGGGGCAAAGATTGTTTTGGCTGCACTGTACCAAGTGTAACACAGGTACAGTGATCCAGGCCAGGAACTCCTAAATGCTTCCACAGGCAGGGACTGTGCAAATATAAACTCAGCTTTGGCAGGTGGTGGAATATTGGTCAGGGCATAAACCTGAGCCTGAGTTCACGCCCCACCATCCTCAGTGTTCTCCCTCCTCCCACTCTCTCTTCCATCCCTCTCAGCACCACGATCCCAACCATCCCAGCTGCCTTGTGCAGACCAGGGAATTCTGCCTTCCATGTCTCCAGTCACACAGGAGGCTGGATTTGTGTCGGGTGAGGTTTAAGGCAGCTTTCCTGAAAAATACCCTGTAGTATGTGCAGGTAAGCGTGATGATAATTATTGAGAATGTTAGGAAGAATTATTTGCTGACAAGAAAGTGATACAAAACACCACACGAGTGCAATGCCAGACAATTAATGTTGCCATCAGGACCTGAACTTTTGCATTTCCTGGCTTCAAATGTGCAGCCTTAAGAGTCAAGGAAGTCTGTGGCACTTAATTAACCTCATACTTTTCTACCACCTCCATCCCAGGAGCCCATGAATTCACACACATATGGAATGTCTTTTCAGGGCCAGAGCCACTTCCAGCTGATAGAAGAAGCTTTTAGTGACCAAGGCTTTGTGCTGAACACGTGTGCTCCTGGGCAGGGTCACTGTCTGGAAGGCCACACAAAGGACTGCTTTGTTTATGCAGCAAGTCTTAAATGTCAGAGTTCAGCAATTTTTCACTTTATCATGAAATTAAGCAAGAGAAAAATATGTTTGTAGGATCCCTAAAGGGTTCAGCTTTTTAAATTCCTCCTGAAACAATGACAATTGTGTTTATGCCTAGAAAATTCTCATGGAGGATGTTTGGGAAAAGCCTGTCTGTGTGGAGAGGAAGGGAATTTGAATACTGGGGTACTGCTGTAAATATAAAGATCACTAAAGCAGCAGTTCTAAGGCAAAGAGACTTTGCATTAACAATTCTCAGTACATCTTCCAGGGAGAGCCAAGAATTGGATGACAGAATGGGTTATGGAGTGTACACTCTATTCCAAAATACATAATTGAAGACAAAATATACAGGGCATAGATAGAAAGACATGGAAGCAACAGCCTGTAATTAACACTGGAAATTAATGTAGAAATCAGCCACTCCATTCTGTAACTCCAACTTGCTCACAGCAAGACTGGCTCTTTGTGAGGGTTCAGCACTTACTGAGCATTAGACAAATCATTAGCAATGAGTTTCTTAAAAGGCATTGGTGAGAACTGGGAGTAGCCACGCTTAGGAAGCAGAATTAACAGATGCTGGTTAAAACTGCATATTGCACCAATTTTCCAAGGAATACTGGTTGGTTTAGCATGGTAACATTAAGGCAAAAGGGGA